CAAAATCCCTTTGGACCCCACACACCCAGCAACACTCTGTCTTTGAACTGTTGCTCTCTGGTCGACGCTACAGAGCACCGACCACCAGAACAGCCAGGTACAAGAACAATTTTTCCCCCCGCAGACTATATTCAGCCTGAACAATTAAAACTTTCATAACTATACATTGTCCATCATAACTGACACATTTATACATAGCATCGCAACATTGTACATTTGTAAACTACATAAACTGTACACTTGTAAATAATGTTCCCTCTAAGCTGTGCGCGTGTGCGGCCGCGCAATTCATTCGTCGCGACCGCGCAGAAGAAATATGCCGCACACAGGACAGACGCAAAAATAAGTTGGGAAAGCAACGTGATCGTACGGTACGGAGAACGTTCAAGAAGTTGACAAGAAAGCCTATTTACCTGTGCTTTTAATGCTAGAGGATTGCAATGCGGACTATCAGGATGACCTCAAACGAGAGTTAAACAATGCAGTCACAACAATGAAAATAAGTCCTTCAAAACTGTGTTTCATCATTCTCTGTTGTAAAAGGTCTCTTGATCCTGAAAGGATGTGCAAAGCGCTGCCGTTATGCACGGTGTCACGGTTTCACACAAACTATCGCCAGCAGAAAAGAAGCTCTTCTCAAAGAAAGCAGAGAGTCTCAAGTTGAAGTTTGAACCAGAGTTTATACTCACTTTTGTGCTCATGAGTGAAGAGTTTGAACAGTCGTACATCACAGGCTTTGTTGAAAACCTGCTGAAGGAAATTGACCATTCATCGCTTCAGACACAGTTGATCAAATTTGTGGCACTACTGAACAGCCACATTGAGAATTCATACCTGTCTATTTTCCACTGTGAGGCATTCCTAGGTTTATGAATCCACTTGGACAAATTTGATAAAACAGCCAAACCGTCAACATCCACATGGATTGATGAAGTTCGACACCAAATATTTGAAAATTCCTTAAGTGAGCACGCTAGGTATTTTTTCATACAGCTAAAATATAGTGAGACAAACATCTCCTCTGTCAGAATAATTCATAATTTGATAGCTAAGGAGATGCTGAAGCAGCTCTCCAGTTACCAGAGCCAAAGTGAAATAGCAATGAGTCTGCTTCAGGACAAAGTGCTGTTTGACCACAGATTTAGAAGCAATGAGTTTCAAAAGTTTGTCAGAGATCTGTTTATCAAACGCACCAAAAAAAGCAAGGGAGATCCAAATCACAGCTGGTTTTCTCCTTTAATAGAGCATGTTAGGGAGGCAGAAGTAGTGGAGAAAGCCATTGACCTTTTGAAGGTAGCTTACACCCGTTTTGATGAGGATGCATTTGTTGCTCAACAGCTTGCACGACTGCTTTATGAAAACAACAATTTTGAGGAAGCCGAGATTTGGGCTAAAAGAGCTAAGTCTCGTCTTCCACAGCACACATACATACTTGACACACTGGGACAAGTATACAAAAAGTGGTTCTACAGCAAACATGATGCCATATGTGAGAAAAACATTGAAATTCAACCAGAGGACATCACTGATATCATTGATACTGCTCTGAAAGGAATCACAACTTTTAGAGAATCTGAAAAATGTCCCCAGTCACAGATGGTCTGCTTGAATAATTCTTATTTTGGAGAAATTGATATTGGGTGCCGATTGCTTGAGCTCCTGTCAAATGTAAACATTTTTTCTACCAAAGAGGGAAATAGGGAGTTGATGGAATACCTGCTCACTGACTACATACCAAAGGAAGTACAGAAACCTTGGCAAAAGTTTCATGGCCTTTTAAAAAGAATTATAAACGGCATTAGAACTGCCCTGAAATGTATTTCTGATGAGCTTGCTCGCTTTCAGAATTTCATTTCTGAGGAAGAGGAGGAGTTGGATGAAGCCTGAAACGGTCAATAATCCAAGAAGATGGCTCCTCAGGAAAAGTGCTGTGTATGCCAAGTTATTTTTTCACATCGTTCAAGAGGATGAGGCTTCTGATGCAAACACAGTTTCCCCATTAATGAGACAAATTAAAATTTTCCAACTTGGAGGCGGTAACGTTACAACAGTCCTTTACCTTCTCTCCAATAACAATAAACAAAGAGCTAATAATCAGCCTTTTTCCAGCTGACCTGCAAAAGGATCTCAACCAGACAGAGCTCAAAAACTTTATCTTCTGTCAGATAGCACTCTCCTGTGCTTCACCTGGCTCTGGAAAACTTCTTTCTATTGAAGAACTTCAAAATCTCAGCAGGCCGTTTTGCAGTGAAAAGAGAACTGCCTTACCAGATACTGCATACCTGCTCCTTTCACTCTTATTTTGGCCAGAGGACTCTATGGGCAAAGAGCACTCCAATACAAGAAGTGATGTTGTCACGAATGCAATAAAAGCGCTTCACAGATATTCGGAGATTAAATCTGCTGCCTCGAGAAAAGGTAGAATTTTTACCCACTTCTTCCTTCGAAAAACAAGGGGTCTCAATAAAATTGTGCACAAGACCACAATTGAAAAATTCTGCAAGGGAACCCTCAGTGAGAGACGCCTCAAGTGGCAAGGTGGTGAAGTGTGGACAAACCCAGACATTGTAAAAGTGCTTTAACGAGTTACTGGATACACTAAAAATGGAAATATGTTTGTTCGGGTGTCTGATCAAAGCAATATCAGAGTCATTCCACTTTTTTCTGCCTCCTTGCCAAATTCAAATGAGAATGTGACTTTCTACCTAGGATTTTCTCTTCGTGGAGTGGTAGCTTTTGTCATTAAGGTGGCAGAGTGAAACAATACTTTAAAATGCAATTGAGAATTTCCCAAAAGATGAGTTTATAAAATATATTCAAACATATCGAATGAAAATAAAGTGTCATTATAAGCGAGCTGCATGATATAAATTATGTGTATAGAATAATATGCATCTGGATTTGTTTTGAATTTGTATATTAATGTTGTTTACTACATTAGTGCCTCATAAAACGGTTTTGAGGGAATATTACTGAATGTTAAAAACCTTTATTTAGAATCAGACATTGCAGTGATGGTTGTGTATACAGCAAATGGATTATAATGGTATTTTATTTAACCTTGGTATGTTCAATAATATTTTTTCAAGACTTTTTACTTTACATATTTTTACTTTGTAGGTACATATAACTAATTTAATAAAAGTACAAGATATATGTGACCCTGGACCACAAAACCAGTAATAAGGGTCAATTTGACAAAATTGAGATTTACACATCATCTGAAATCTGAATAAATAAGCTTTCCATTGATGTATGGTTTGTTAGGATAGGACAATATTTGGCCGAGATACAACTATTTGATAATCTGGAATCTGAGGGTGCAAAAAAACCCAGAAATATTGAGAAAATCGCCTTTAAAGTTGTCCAAATTAAGTTCTTAGCAATGCATATTACTAATCAAAAATTTGATATATTTACAGTAGGACATTTACAAAATATCTTCATGGAACATGATCTTTACTTAATATCCTAATGATTTTTGGCATAAAAGAAAAATCAATCATTTTGACCCATACAATGTATTTTTGGCTATTGCTACAAATATACTCCAGCGACTTAAGACTGGTTTTGTGCTCCAGGGTCACATATAGTTATTTAGTGATATTTCCTTGATTAGTTTCAAAGTGCAGATGCTTGGCAAAAAAATATATTTAATTATTTGGCTGGTGACTTTCAGTAAAATTGGATGTGTATATAAACTTACATTTTAGAAATAGTTGTAGAAATATGCATAATATTGTATTACAAAATATACAGATTAGGTTTATTATGGTGAAGATGTTCCAGTTTGCAATTCTGTGCCGTCTTCCTGTGATACATTGAACTTGGAATTAAATTATTGTGCCCTCCATCCAAGCCTCCTACTTAAAGGGATAGTTCACCCAAAAATGAAAATTCTGTCATCATTTACTCACCCTCATGTCGTTCCAAACCTGTATGAGTTGCTTTCTTATGTTGAACATAAAAGAAGATATTTTGAAGATTGCTGGTAATCAAACAGTTGGTGGTTGCCATTGACTTCCATAGTACGAAAAAAAATACTATGGAAGTCAATGGCAACCACCAACTGTTTGATTACCAGCAATCTTCAAAATATCTTCTTTTTAATTTTTATGTTTCATTTTTAATCTGCTAAAATAACACCTGCCCCAGCAGCAATGCATTGCCCTCTTGTGGTAATGATGTTACAGCCTACAACGATCTACAAATGGCTAAAGAAAATACTACAGGTATTTGACAGGCAGATTATGATTGTTTTCCCGGTTTATTTCATCTCACATGAGATGCTTAAAGTGGATGAATTAAAACAGAATAAAAACTACAACTTTGCCTGTGCTAATTTACAATGTGTTATTTTAATTCTTGCATGAATTCAAGAATCAAGGTTAGGTGTATTAACAGCAAGTCAATGCACAGTGTTGAACATTTCTTTAATTCTTATAAATTCACACAAATAAAATGTTCCTGGAACAAATTATTGACAGTACAGTCACGTCAAACCATAAATCATGATAATTATACACACATTATCACCATTTACAACTGGATCAATATGTATACATGTTTAAGGGATATTTTTCTCACAATTCTGTTAATTTTAACTGTTACATTTACATCCAGTTTTATGATTATCAGAGGTTTTGTTTTTGGTAAGAAACATTCTGAAATAGCAAACAAGAACATAAATCAAAGAAATTATTATTATAACAATTAAGACTAAAATAATAGAATATGATCCAATTAAGCACTTTATCACAAAAAAACAAACAAAAAAAAACACGATAAAATGGGCCATGCAGGTCATAGTACAATAGGTCATAGTAGACCGTTAATAGGCTATTGGCTTGCGCAGAGCTTCATGATTATGTGACTAGCTTCCTAATTCAGTTTGCTACTTCAATAAATGTACAGGACTGTCTGTTTTAAAAATCACATCTTCAAAACAATGACTGCTACACAATAGAGACTACATCCTAGAATCAGCTGTCACATATAAACAGTATTGTGTTAATATATACACATTATTGAGAAAAGTTATTTAAATAAAGTTTGATCACACATGCATTTTTCATTGCTCCATTTTATAGGATCTATTTAGGTTAGAATTTTTAAGCACCCAAATCAACATACAGCAGCACATCACAAACAATCTTTTTCAACCTTTGCTGTTGAACCTCTACACACACAAAGATACACTTAAGTGTTTTCAATTCAAGTTTGTTGAAGTTGCTTAAAATGCAAACCACACTGCTATGATTATGGGTGTTAAATTGGAGTTCTGGGCAGCTGCTTCCAAGGTGCTCTCAGATAGGTGAGTTTATGAATCACTGTGGTGTCAGTAGAGTGTGCCCTGCGCATGCTCCCCGAGGAACTCCTCCAGCACTTTTATGATTCCACAGGCCTCAGGAAGGCTGCTGTGCTCGGCCCGTGCGTTCTGCAGCAGCACGTCCCCGTTTCCACAGCTCTGCAGGAACAGACAGCAGCGGAACAGAGCGTAGTGGCTCATTTCAGCCTGACGGATGAAGCGCTTCAGGTTGTTCATGTCCTGAATGGCCTGCATGGAGAAACAATGTGCATGTTGAAGACAGTCAAAATGACGAATTGGCATTTCTGAATGAGACCATTCTTAAATCAGGTTGGGTACTATACAGAAAATATTTTTTGTTCATTTAATAATACTAGTTAATACTTTTTAAATTTAAGTTAATAATTTTGAATATAATACTTTTAAAAGTTAATCATTCATTTTTTTCATAACATTTGACATTTCCTCATTAATTATACTGTGAGCAGATGTTTACAACATACTAGATTTGGATACAAGTGTTAAATGTGAGATCTGGAAACCAGACAGCAGTTACCAGTAACACTCAAAAATGAAACGAAAAAACAATAGAAGTCAATGGAAACCAAAACTGTTTGGTTATCAACGTTCTTGAAAATATTTTCTGCAAAAGAAAGAAATTCATACAGGTTTGGAACAATATGGGACTGAGTAAATGATGACAGAATTTTTCATTTTCATGTAAACTATCCCTTTAACTGTTAGTTACCAATAGTAGGTTAGCATGGTAAACATAACTTTTTCAGAAATGTCATGTTAATATTAGGCAAAAAAAAAAGATGTACAAGTAAACTTATTTTATAAAACAATTTTTATAAAATGTACAATTTACATATAAATATTTACAATTATATATAAGTAAAATGAGCAAGCAACAAAAATCAGTGAATGCCATACAACTGTTAAATGTATGGTCTGGATACCAGGTTACTGTTATACTCAATCAGAAGCAAATTAACCTTAAGTTTAAAATTCTCCAGGATTTGGCGGAGAAGGAAAGGGTTAAAGCGTTCAGCGGCATTGAGGAAGGCCTGGATCCAGTCATTGCAGAATCGGTTACTGACTGCAGAGATAATAACACATTACAACATTATCAAAATAAGGCATTTATGAAAGGAGAAAGTCTGTACATTTATTGAGGTGATGCTGCTGCTGCTGACCTTTATTGGTGAGTGTAGGTGGGCTGGTTGAGCAGTCGATGATCAGACTGCTGTGAGAGTCCTCTGAAATGGCCTTACAGAGGGTGTCTTCCTGAACTAGACCCTGCAGGCTTGCTGCTTTGATAAATCTAACAAGACAATTAATCAAGTTGTAATGGCTATCAGTTTTTAAAACTGTAAAAATGTAGCCGCTATTAAGATAAAGTTGTTTTGCTTACCTTGCTATATCTGCTTTTGTCTTCTCATCTGCCCCTGTGACCTCGAAAAGTTTGTGACTCAAAGCCTGCAGCAGAGAAGTAGTTATGTTCATTTACTATTTCATATAATACAGTATATTATTGCTTTCAATTATGATTTTATAAAATGTATTTGATCTAGACAGCAGTGGTTTCTTACTGCATGCAGAAGGTAACCGACGTTCGCCTGCAACAGCTGAACCACTTTGTGAATGTGCATAACTGACTCTTCATACCAGCGGTTCAGGTAGGGCCTGACTTCTGTCTCCAAATTCTGCATCTGTAGCCAGAAGTTGCCAACAATATTTACAGCAAATGGACATAAAAAGCTGTATGCTAGCAGATATAACTTAAAAAAAATGTACAGATTTCAACATTATTCCCACTGTCAGTGGCAAAAACTGTCCTCAACTCTGGAGTCAAACAGCCCTGCAGACCCTGGACGTACTTGTCCAGCTCAATTCTAAATGTTTGCAGGGTTAAAGAAAATGTATTCAATATTCTACTAAGAGAGCAACATGTTTGAATACAAAGATACAATTTGATAGCACTTCATTCTTTAGTGCACAATGCTGTTTTTCCTACAGTTTAATTGTCAGTCATTTGTGGTTTAAGGATATAGATTTAGGCCCTTCTCTGATCCTCCGAGTAGACACACCACCCAGCCGTTGCCGTCGGCATCAGGCTGTTCTGGAGATTTCTCCTGCTCCAGCAGACAGCAGTAACAGCCCACCGCTTGCTCAGGGATGCTTGAACACACACAAACATTCAATCAGTTAAGATAATACATGGTAATATTGTTCTGAATGGCAATGAGATATGATCTGAATATTTAGTTCTGCACTGAAGGATACTAAACAATAAGTAATGCAAATGTATTAATACTACATCATTTAAATAGTACTCTTTAGCTTGCTAAATATGATGCAGTGTTATTTTAGTAGTATTTATACACTATTATTTATTTGTATATTTAGAATTAGTTTTTATTTTGATATTAAACTGTTTTTAACAGTTTAATTTTTAGTCATTTTGCTATGTGCTTTTGTCATTTTTTGTCAATTTGGCTCAAATGTATTTTTATTTCAGTTTTAGTATTTCAACTTAAAAATACTTATTTCAGTTAGTTGCCAAAGCAACAGTTCTAATTATCATTTTATATTTTTCATTTAAAAGCGGAATCTGGTCTCTGAATAATTTTTGGTTTGACTGTATATCCTTTCTGAATATGGCACTTATCACATGCTGTGTGGTATCGGCGTTTGGTATCGGGGCATTTTAACGAGTACGAGTATGAGTACAAGAGCTCAGTATCGGGCCCGATACCAGTATCGGTATCGGTGCATCCCTAATCAGAATTTTATGTATTGCTCTCTACAACTTCGGATATCATTAGCTTTTGGCTTGACTATGTTATCAAACAGCCAATCGTGTGTTTCTAATGTTACACAAACCATGTTCCCCTTCACCATCTCAGAAAGTGACCTTCTAAAAGTCAACATCCTTAGGTAGAAACGCTTTGCTAATGATACGGAAAGTCCCATCCCAGAAGCTGATGAGACTGATTACATGTTTGTGATGGTAAGAAATAGGCTGTTTCAAACCACATTTCTGATACTGTCTTTGGTACACTGCAGTTTTAAAGAGAAAAAGCTCAACAATGGCGTTGACTGATGAATTTGCGTATGGTTTGTCTTTAAGCATACTAAAAACACCAGACAGACATGTAAACAATGTTGAAAATGTGATTTTCACCACAGGGGGACTTTAACAATAACAACACTGATATGATGTACCTTAGCTCCACAGTGGCAATGTTCCCCATACCCCCTAGCAAAGCGCCCTTGCTCAGCCTGCGCGAGATGTAGCTTCGCAGTTCTGGCTCGGCCTCGGGTGGCAAGCTGGCGTCCAGCAGGGTGAGACTTTAAGAGTGGAAAATATGGGTTAAACTAGAATATCAACAAGGAAGGAAAAGTGAACAAGTGGACAGATAAGCAGTCAATGAAGCAATGTTGTTCACAGAATCACCAGCGGCACCTAACAGAGATACAATCAAAAGATCAATGGTTATGAATGATGTGAGCAAACCAACATGATGAAAAGCCAGATGCAGAATCCTGGGTGTTTTTTTTGACTGAAGCCATGATTTTTTCCCCCCCATCACAACACTGAAAGCCACGGGACTGAAATGACTGAAAGATGATCGATTGACCCTTTTTACCTAAAGTCTTCCTGACTTGTGGTTGAGTCTGATCTCCTCTGGCTCCAGGCCACACTCTCTCCAGAAGCCTCAGATCTAGGTAGTTTGAAAATGCGTGTAATACTTCATAAGCATTGATATGTTAAGATCTCCCAAGGTTCTCACTGGCCTACATAGCCATGTATGGTGTTTTACAATATCTTTTATACATATCAGTGTCCATATACTATGTAACTCATCCAAAATACAGTCATATGATTTCATTGGCCTAACCCACTATTATGAACTATGCGTCACGCAAGTGCAAGCTTAATTCAAATTAATTGTTAATTTTACCTCATAAACATAGAAAAATGCAAAAGACTAGCTAGACCTAACTATGCAAGCTTGCATCTCATATAATCCTTAATATGCGGTATAAAAGGGCAAATTATTTCTAAAACAACTTGCATTTTGTAAAGCATCCAGCATTTGGAAAGCCTCCTTAGCATAATGTAACCTAATGCAATGACATAGTTACATGTGGAAACCACTGTACCTTGTGTTCTGGTAGTAGTATATGGCATAGTAGCTGTTAATCTGCTGTATTTTCTGGCTGTATCCGGCGATCTCTTCGTTGTCGAAGTCTGCATCTCTTTCATCCACGTCTATGGACTCCTGGAAGGAAGAGGTCTGGCATGTAAACAGGTCTCTGCAGAGCCAAAAGACGACGAGCGACACTGATATCTGCTACGGCTTACGTGCTATTCCGATAACTAAGTTAATCAATTTCAGTCCCAATGATGTTAATGCATTGAAGCCGCGTTAACTATTTTGTTTATAAATCTATTTAAATGCTACGTGACATTTAACTAAAGTCAAAGTAGTGACAGCGATACCGGTACGCATGCGCTGGAATTGTGTTTAGTTAGTGAACGAATCGGTGTTTTGAATGAATCTTTTAAGCGAACGAATCGTTTGTGTTCACTCTCATGCACTGACTCATATGTTCATCCTTCTTCTTCTTCTTCGAGTTTATTGGCGGTTCGCATTCTTAAAAGAGCATTACCGCCATCTACTGTGGTAATGGATCAGAGACACTACTCCCTAGACCAGTGGTTCCCAAACCTGTCCTGGAGGACCCCCCTGCCCTGCACATTTTGTATGTCTCCCTAATCAGACACACCCAATTTAGTTCTTGCAGTCTCTACTAACGAGCTGATGAGTGGAATCAGGTGTGTTAGATTAGGAAGACAAACAAAAGGTGCAGGGCAGGGGGGCCTCCAGGACAGGTTTGGGAACCACCTAGACCATTCAGGACTTGTGCTTTCAAATATTTTCATTCTACCACCAGTCCTGGGTTTTAGGTACCATGAAAGTGGCGTGTGCTGCTTCTCAATGTGCCTACTTATACTACGCCCTTAAAGTATGTACTCTTTTGGTGAAGAAAAAGTACACACTTTTGAGTGTGTTGTAGAAGAGTTGGATTGTGGGCAATATTAGCCATTAGAGTGTGCATGGATACACACTTAAAAAATCGACCTGAAATAGTAGACCATCCGGGGACTTTTGGCATACTCTTTTTTTTAACATACTATGCTTTGGGACACACTTATTCTAATCTCACATACTATTTAGTATGGATAGTATGAACATTGAGATGCAGGGATGGCTTTTAGCGGCGTTCATAGCCATAGTAACTTATTTGATGTATGTTAAAGTCTGTGTGAACCGGAAGTTGCTGCCGACTTTATTTCAGTGTAGTGACGTATTTCCAGCTGAAACGGAATATTGAATAGAGGGCATGGTTTTATTTTTGCGCTCCTCCTCTCTGTCTCTCACTCATAGCAACCTAAGGGTTGGAGGGGTGTGTTTAAGGATGTTCTGCCCAAGCCGTCAAACTGACGTCATCAGAAAAGGAATGCCATTCCAGAGCAGAAGCAAATGTTCAGATTTTGATTAAAGATTACCAAGACAAACTATTTTTTTCAGCGGATTAACTTGCACGGATTCATTGCTCACATCATTACTAGCAATGTGCGCTAGTAAAGTAAATAAAGTCAATTCTGATTTCATGAGGACTTTAATAATGTAAGAAGTTTGAAACCAATTTATTTTTATTTGCCTACTTTTTATAGTTATGCCCAGCCAATTGGAGGGGAAATGTTTTGTTGGCATTTGTGTGGAAAACGTTTATAATATTTAAACACTCTCTTTTAATAATAAATAATAATTAAATTATTAATTGTCTTTAATAAATTTGTAGACACGAACATTTTAATAAAGTACAACAAGGCGTTTTGGTGGACATTAGTGTTTGTAACGAATCGGTTAAAGTCGGCATGAAACGGAAGTTGCGATTGTCTTTTCTTCTCTACTGTGACGGATATCCGAGTGAAACGGCATCTGAAATGAGATTTCGTCCTTCGGGAATTGATTGGATCGTTGGAAGCTGGGGCGTTGCTAACAAAATGGAGGAAGATCTGAATGCCAGTTTGCAGTTAGTGGTGGGGGATTTCTCTCCACTGGATTCACCGCTGACACCATAGCATGAATAAATGTTTTATTTATTAAGGATGACGACGACGATCAATGGCACAAAACATGTCTAAACAGAGAGAGAGAGAGAGAGAGAGAGAGAGAGACTGCCTGAATGACTGAGCGCGTCCTCCGTCAGGTTAAGTCATATTCATGAAAAAAATTAGTTTGTGATGTCCTAAGAGTAATGTTGTCGTAATATCCTAATATCTTTTCAATGTTTAGGGGTAACGTACTCCCTCATGACTGGTGTCAGTGCTATAAAGTGAAGCATCAGCTTCAGCTTTTCCACCTGTCGTTTATTCCAAACGTCACTGATGTCACTGCAGCTGCTGGCAGTTCCAGATAGCTCCGCCCTTGCGCCATAGCTCCTGACCGGAAGAGTAGAGGAGTCCTTTTGAGGGGAGGGAGGTTAACGTTTTTGATTAAAGATTACGAGGGCACATGAATTAAAAAAAAATAATGAAGTGCACGGATAAATTATTTATAATAAACACTACAGTATTCCATTAAAAAATAAGAATTGTCTATTTTGATTTCATGGTGACTTTAAATGAAATAACCCCCGAAAATACTAATTTTATATTGAATGTTATGTGAACAAAATAGATAATACAGATAAATCCAATAAGTTTCGAACATTTAAGTACATTAACAAATGATGACAGTATGTTTTAAAGTCCCCCTGTAGTCAAATATTTTATCCCTTAAAACGTATCTTTGATCATCAAAATGACATATTTAAATTTTTTTTCTTGTGAAAATAATTTTCTCATGCCTTAAAATAGCTTGAATGTAACTCTACACCCTTGCCTCATTTACTATACACGGATGTATGATATGCAAATTAGCCCCGCCTCCACTCACTAAATACAAATAAATAAGCGCTAACAGCACATGACATCGTGAAAATAGGGGGAAATATTAACAGTTGGCTAAACATCTACAGAAAAAATATAACTTTACCGGATTAGCCTGGCTGCCTTCTCACTAGACCCTCTGCTTTGCAGCAGTTAATGATATGCTATAAGGATAGGATCCCTTGACGCGATTGGTTATTCAATTTTGTGACGTAGAAAAAAAAAAGGCTGTTTCTGTGACTGCCTTTGGGAAACTAGTTTTAAGGAGAAAATACTCAGCAATGGTGTTGATTAATAGATTGGCACATGGTTTGTATAAAAGCATATTAAAAACACCACAGACAAATAAACAACATAAAAAACTTGATTTTCACTACAGGGGGACTTTAAAATAACACACAAAAAGACTGTTGTTGCCACATCCTGCCGCGATGATGTCACACGATGTGATTTGTTCTTTTTCGTGAACGGAAAATTTGGTCCTTGAAAACTGCTAGACTTGATTAGTTTTGACTGTGCAAAGTTTTGTATTATGCTCTGCAATATGAACTTAACAAGAGGCTTCCTCTAGTTCTGGGTAAAATTATAGAGCGACACGAAGGTAAGCGCATTATTGTTGTTGTTATTTTTGTAATTGTCGGATTATAATTATCAATGAATGACACAGTTTTGAGTTGACTGTCATGGTGTGCGCATGAACGAGTGTGAAATACCTGCTAATTACGTTGCTTTTTCACTTATATTGGGCACTTTTTGCATTTAAACTGGATTATTCTGACTGCTGACATTGAAAATCATGCATGTGTTGTTTCGAGGGTATCGGTTAATTTCATGATTGCCGTTTTGACAGTGTCTGCTTGCATATTTTATTCATGTTCGGTAGCCTAATTCTCTTTAATGTAGGCTATTCGCCCCTATTTGATCCGTTTACCTGCGAAATGTATCTTATCTATAATTTATATTATTTTGTCGTCAATATTTTTGTTTTAAGGAGTTAAAATGGACCTTATCAACCTCGATTTACATATTCTATAACATTATTTTGACAGTTAAAGTTTTGGGCGGGTTTTTGTGAGTTTTTGGGCTGGAAATCGTCCATCCAATCTGGCAACACTGCGTGTAAACGCGCCAAACATCAAGAGCACTAGATCTGCATTGCAGCTCTATACCAGAATACATTATAGTACGCTACTGTAATCGGCATAACTTTTAAACATGCCGTCAAATGTAGAAATAAAAGCAGTTTTGCGTGACTTGCCTTACCTCACGAAGCGTGCAAAGGAGCTGAGCGGCTCAGACGGGACTGTCATCCGTCAGCAGGGCACGTTTTTCAAAGTACCCGCAGGACGCCTGAAACTCAGGGACTTCCAGGATGGGACAGGACAGTTGATCTTCTATGAGAGGCCAGATACAGAAGGACCCAAGCTGTCAAATTACTCCATAACCCCTACCAACGACCCACAGGGGCTTGTCAAGGTTTTGACGGATGCATTGGGGCAAGTGGGGCAGGTGAAGAAGGAGAGGAGGCTCTATATGGTGGGACAAACCAGGGTGCATGTTGATTCTGTGGAAGGCCTGGGGGACTTCATGGAGCTTGAGGTGGTGATGAAAGAGCAGCAGAGCAGAGAAGAAGGAGTGGCAATCGCAAATCAGCTCATGCTGGACCCGGGAGTGAAGGAGGAGGATCTGATAGACGGCGCCTACATGGATCTCCTACTGAAGAACCAGCAAAATGGACATGCACCGTAGACTCTGACCACATGTGGTCTACTGTAATGCATTTAAAGCCATTTGTCAACGACAGACTTGTTAAACGTAACACAATCCTCTGACATCAAGACATTAAATGTTTCTGTTTTGCATAGTTGCTCCTTTTGTACTGCAACAATCAATACACAATAATCTTTTGAGATTAAAAGCATTTTCTGAAATGATAAACAATAAACAATGTGCATAGATCATGTTTGGTCTTTGGACAGACAGAGACTGGTATGCATGTGTTGTAACTTTTTTTTTCTCTGTTGAATTTTAAGGGACATTCTAACCTCTTATGGTGACAGAAAATAGGACCATAACCAAAAATTAATATAGACGGGGCAAAAAAAATAATAATAATAAAAAAAAAATTATATATATAAATTAAAAGGATAAAATACAGGGGATCAAATCTATATCTATCTATCTATCTATCTATCTCAAAGAGTATATAAATACAAAAGTAACTAAAAATGAATGGTGAATATTAGTGCATAATAAGAATTTTATAAACAGAAGTAAAAAGTTATTCAGGTCGGGTGTAGTGAGACTGGAAACAATGCGTTGCAATGAATAGTACAGGTAGAGACTGACTACTGGATTCCAAATTGATTATAAAGAGAGAAAGGCAACAAGAAAACGCGTATAAATGCTATGTAAATATTCTCTTTGGTTCGATGAACATGTATGGTATGGCTCCATCGTACCTTTCTGACCTATTGATTGAACATGTTCCCACCAGATCACTTCGGTCTTCCAACCAGAGACTGTTGGTTATCCCTAGGTCGAAGTATAAGTGCAGAGGTGACCGTGCATTCTCTGTAGTTGCCCCCAGACTCTGGAATGAATTACCTATCACAATCAGACTTGCCCCCTCTGTATCTGCTTTTAAATCTATCTTAAAAACGTATTTGTTTGATAAGGCTTATAATCTAAATTAACATTCTCCTGCCTTACATTTTTTATTATTTTATTATGTTTTTATTATACTTTGTGTATTTCTAAGTAAATGTGTTTTTGTGTTTTTCATTTTATTTTTTTGTAAAGCACATTGGACAACCATGGGTTGTAATTAATGGTGCTATATAAATACATTTGCCATTGCCATTGCCATGTAGAGCTGTTTCTGCTGTCATGAGACGCTCCAAGCAAGTAGGTGGCAGTCATACAGATGATACAACACGCAGCGTCCTGTGTTCTCGCGAGACTACATTTTTCCCTAATCGCGCCGCGCGCCCCTCTTTCTTCCTCTTTCCGCCATATTGCAGAACTGGTAAGGTTTGATCGCTACAATGCTTGTATAATCGGATTAAAATCACGGACATCGTTTTGTATCATCCACATTTAGACTGAAATATATGTTTATGAGCAGCCTAAACGCCAGGGTTGTGAGTCATTTGCTTACTCGTGTCTGTATGAACGGATATATTGCCCTGATATCCAAGGCTGTCCAACCTCCAGCAGTGTCTGTCCGTTTTACTGAGGGACAGAGGAATAACCCGAGTCAAAGCAAAGTACCCAAACAGTCCGGTGCCTCTTTTTAACTACAAATGCATGTTATTATGAAAGAGGAAGGTTTATGGTCAAGACGAACTCCGATAGCTTAATTCGCTAACTATTGAACGCACTACCAGAACGTTAATCATAGCGCATAGTTCTGGAGAAAATTGAATACAGTTTTGCCTTGTGTACGGGTTTTTCGGGTTCCAAGAAAACGTAATGTAACTTGTTTGATTT